CTAACGACAACACAGAGCCCCGGGGAAAACCGAGAAGGGAAAAAAGACAGGGCCCTGAGCCCAAGTACTTAGCAGTGAAACTGAAAAGGAAAAAACGCAAAGGGGAAATCAAATTGAATGAGGGGGAAACCCGGGATAACAGTGGGGAATGAAAGAGTGAGGTCAGCTTTGTGTATGGGCCCCGGAGTTGAAGGGGAAAAAATATGAAAACAAGAAAACAAGGGAAAAAAAAAACAATTGAAAGCATGAAAGCAATAGGGGAAAACGGCATGATCCATCTGAAAAATTTTTTGGGGAATGGGGGGTTTGTAAAAAAAAAAACCCGGGCCCGGAAAGTGACCTTCAAGGCAGAATCAACTCGGAACAGGGGTCCTGCAGGGGAAAGCACGATTAAGGGGGCATGCCCGCTCAGGGAAGGGTATCTCAACCCCCCCCGGCAGAGCACTAGAAAGAAAGGGAGAAACTGAGAGAGATGGTACAAAGGGGAAAGGAGGAAAGAGAGGGGGTGGAGAAGACAGACAGGGGATCCCCAAACCCCCGGAAAAGATCAAAGCAGCCCCTCACAATTCCTATAGAAGCCTCCCAACCAGGTCAACCCCAGTGCAACCCAAAACTCTAACCAAAACACCCATGACCATCCATTTTCCCCCACCCACTGCATTACAAATCCCCCCCACACAACCACCCATAGTTCCTTATCAGGCTCCCACTTCCCAATCCCAATACACCTCCCCGACCACAGTCTTAGAAAAGAAGTTGAAGTGTGGTATAAAAGCGATGGAAAAACTAAAAAGATTTGGGTGGACGAAAGAATCAAGGAGACATCCCCCGAATAATAGCATCAAAGAAACAAAACCACCGAATAATAAAAAAATTCAATCTTTCCCCTCCGGGTATCAATCCTCGGAAAGACAGAGGGAGGGGAGGGGAAGGAGGAGTTGCACTGCTCATTAAAAAACCCGTGGGGTTTGAGAAAAAAGGAAGGAATGGATGGCACAGGCGAAAGGGACTATTTGTAGGAACAATCCATCTGAGGGACAAAGGTGTAATTGCATAAAGTACAACCCACCACAGAACTCAGGAGGCCAAAAGAAGAATAGGATGAAACAAAAGAGCAATGGTCGACACACTAGCCCGGGGGGCCAGGAAGCACACATGGGAAGAGCAAATTTACAGTTATGGGGGATTTCAACCAAAGGGGATTGACTGGGGAAAACCCGGAGCCCCCATGGGGGTCCCAAAACATGGAGAGCCAAGATGATGGATGTGGTACTGGAAAACCTCATGCATCAACATGTTAGAGACACTACCAGAGAGAGAGGAAAGGATGAACCAGCAAGACTGGACCTTGTATTCACCTTTAGTTCGGACATCGAGGATATCATATATGAAAGGCCCCTGGGAGCTAGTGATCATGTGGTTCTGTGCTTCGACTACATAGTTGAGCTCCAAGTGGAGAGAGTAGCAGGAATAGGGTGGGAAAAACCAAACTACAAAAGGGGGAACTACTCAGGCATGAGGAACTTCCTTCAAGACATTCAGTGGGAGAGGGAACTGACAGGAAAACCAGTACAAGAAATGATGGACTATGTGGCAACAAAATACAAGGAGGCAGAGGAGAGGTTTGTTCCCAAGGGAAACAGAAATAATGGGAAGAACAGAACGAGTCCTTGGTTCACCCAAAGGTGTAGGGAGGCAAAAACTAGGTGTACTAGAGAATGGAAAAGGTACAGAAGACAGAGAACTCAGGAAAATAAAGAGATTAGCCGAAGAGCCAGAAACGAATATACACAGATAAGAAGGGAGGCTCAGCGACAATATGAAAATGACATAGCATCGAAAGTCAAGACTGACCCGAAGCTGTTGTACAGCCACATCAGGAGGAAAACAACAGTCAAGGACCAGGTAATCAGACTGAGGAAGGGTGATGGGGAATTTCACAAGAAACGACCGAGAGGTATGTGGAGCTCAACACAAGATTTAAAGAAGTATTTACAGTGGAAACCAGTAGGACTCCAGGAAATCAAAAACAGGGGGGTACACCAGCAAGTGCTGGGTGAGGTACATATAACAAAGGGGGAGGTGAAGAAGCTGCTATGCGAACTTGACACCTCAAAGGGGTGGACCAGACAACATCTCCCGTGGGTCCTTAAAGAGGGAGCAGAGATTTTGGGTGTGTGCCATTAACAAAGAACTTCAACACATCATTTGAAACGGGGCAACTCCCTGAGGTAGGAAGATGCAAATGAATTTCCCAATTTTTAAAAAGAGAGACAGAACATGAGGCCACTAAACTACAGACCTGTATCACAACGTGTATAGTATGCAAGGTCATGGAGAAGATCATCAGGAGGAGAGTGGTGGAGCACCTGGAAAGAAAAAAAGTGTATAATTGACAACCACACGGTTCAGGAAGGAAAATCCTGTGTCACAAACCTACTAGAGTTTTATGACAAGGTGACAGAAGTAAGACAAGAGAGAGAGAGAGATGGATCGACTGCATTGTTTTGGACTGCAAGGCCTTCGACACAGTTCCTCACAAGAGGTTACTGCAAAAGCTAGAGGATCAGGCACACATAACAGGAAAGGCACTGCAATGGATCAGAGAATACCTGACAGTTAGGCAACAACGAGTCATGGTACGTGACGAGGTGTCAGAGTGGGCGCCTGTGACAAGCGGGGTTCCACAGGGGTCAGTCCTTGGACCTGTGCTGTTCTTAGTATATGTGAACGACATAACGGAAGGGATAGACTCAGAAGTGTCCTTTTTTTGAAAGGATGATGCGAAGTTAATGAGAAGAAATCAAATCGGATGAGGATAAAGGCAGGACTACAAAGAGACCTGGACAGGCTACAAGCCTGGTCCAGCAACGGGCTCCTTGAGTTTAAACCCTCCCAAAATGCAAAGTCATGAAGATTGGGGAAGGGCAAAGAAGACCACAGACTCAATATATTTTTAGATGGCCAAAGACTGCAAACCTCACTCAAGGAAAAGATCTGGTGTGAGAAATAACACCGAGCATATCTCTTGAGGCGCACATCAATCAGATAACTGCTGCCGCATACGGGCGCCTGGCAAACCTACGGATACGTTCCGAAACCTCAGTAAGGATTCGTTCAAGACTCTGTAAAACCATTTACGTCAGGCCCATACTGGAGTATGCAGCACCAGTTTTGGAATCCACACCTAGTCAAGCACGTCAAGAAATTAGAGAAAGTGCAAAGGTTTGCAACAAGACTAGTCCCAGAGCTACGGGGATTGTCCTACGAAGAAAGGTTGAGGGAAATCGGCGTGACGACACTGGAGGCCAGGAGGGTCAGGGGAGACATGATAACGACATAAAATACTGCGCGGAATAGACGAGGTGGACAAAGACGGGATGTTCCAGAGATGGGACACAGACACAAGAGGTCACAATTGGAAGTTGAAGACTCAGATGAATCAAAGGGATGTTAGGAAGTATTTCTTCAGTCATAGAGTAGTCAAGCCGTGGAATAGCCTAGAAAGTGAAGTAGTGGAGGAGCCGGGCGGTAGTTACATCCAAGAGTCTGCTTATTTTGTTGGATGCACCATAGACATATGGCTCCTCCTGCATGATAGAATGATAATAGATGGACTCACTGGTGTCAATCTCCCTAAGTCTTAAGTCAATAAAATTCAGTTGAAGTTCTTTTCATATTATTGTTCTCAAACTGCTAACTGACAAGCCAAGATTGCAATCTACCCCCCTCTTTGAAAGCATACAATTTAGCCAATTTATCAGTTTTATCATGCATCTGAAGACCAATGTGAGATGGAATCCACAGCATGTGCACTTCTTACAGAATTCATTACTTTGTAACTTGTGAGCTCATTACCTTTGTACCTAGTTCAGCTATCAAAACTTTGGGGGCCCAGTCCCTGGACCCATTACGTACCTCTGTAATCTGTAAATACCTTTGTAACTTATGATTGTGACCAGACCTACCTGGAGTTCATTACCTTTGTAAATTGTGAGTTCATTACCTTTGTAAATTGTGAGTTCATTACCTCTGTAACTTGCTCAGCTATCAAAACTTTGGAGTCCAGTCCCTGGACCAATTATGTACCTCTGTAATCTTTTGACTACCGCCCACAGGATGGGTATGGGGTGCATAATAAACATATTAAACTAAAGCATGTGCACTCTTGACTCCACAATCTTACCATACCTGTGTCTGGCTTCTGACACAAGCATGCCACAATTTATACTTAATGAGTTGAGAGTATTTATGGATGACAGAGATTCAGTTACAATTAAAGTGTCAACCTTAGAAACATGGACGCATTTGAGTGCAAGGAGTATGGCAAACAGTTTTGTCTGAAGGGTAGAGGCCCAGTTATTGATGCGTGCTCCAATTTCTTTATGAGAGCCATCACTCTGTATGACAACAGCAGCACTGTCAGCTGCACCAGTGGACTGGTGAACAGAACCATCAACGTAAATAATTTGTGAAAGAGTGTTGTGTGTGACTAAATTATCAATACAGCTTAAGGCATCATGTTTGGCTTCAAGACGAAGCTTTGGTTGTGATTTAAGAAGAGTTTTGGGGGGAAATGGAGGAAATTATTATCATCAAAACTAAGCGCTAAACCCACCAGTTTAGATTAATAAATCTTTAACAGAGTGAAATACTGACCCAATGAACGCATTTGCATACTATAGGCTTGCCAAAGAATTATTTATAGCTTACTTATAATTTTTTAATATAAATTTTAAAATTATTTTTTTTTAAATTTTAGATGGGTGTCATGTTGTTTGACTTTACCGGGCTAGCCCAAGTTAAATCTAATTGTGCTGTATACGGATATAGTATATGTGTCTATACCACCTGTGGGGCCCTTAAGACCATTGTATAAAAATCAGCTTTTGTTTTATACTGCTTCAACAACCGCCTGCCAAGGTAGTGACTCAAAGAAGCAAACACATTCACCAACATTCATATATATGTATGAAACCCTTTTTTTTTTTTTTTTACAGGTGGATATCCTTGTGAACAATGCTGGTATTGTGACTGGCAAGAGTTTCCTCCATGTCCCGGATGATCTCATCCAGAAGACCATGGATGTCAATATCATGAGCCACTTCTGGGTGAGTTATTACCCCCTTTCTCTCACTTAGGTACATGTATATGGGGGAGCTAATCATGCAAGCAGTTGCAGCTAATTAACCATTCATCAGATCAAACATTTCTTAGAATTTCTAGGGTACTTTATGGCCCTTATGACATATATAATACAGTGCAGTAAAATAATAATAATAATAATAATAATAATAATAAGAAAAATAAATTATCTCGCTTCCCATTCGCTCCACTTATCCAACTGGGAACTTTCCCTTACAGTCTCTCGTCATTCACTACTAATATTTAGCCTTTCTTGTATTTCCCTGCTCAGGTATGTGGTCCATTTAGTAATGCCATCTCTTCGTTAGTTTAATAACATTATTAAACACCTAATACTCTTGATGTAAGCTTTTTCACCCTGAAATGTGTCCCTCTTCAGTACAGGCAAGTGCTATAACTTATATTGCCAGGCACACCATCTAAAGGGGACAAAAAGATACAAAACATCCAGACCATGGGAAAACCTGGGTAGCCACAGCCACTCAAGAGAGAGAGGTTTTTTAGTGCCAGGAAGAAAAAAAAACTGGCAGGAAATGGCAGAAATCGTACACCAAATCCAATCATTTCTGGAGTGGAATCACAGTCGATGGCCTCCACTCCAAACCAACAGATACAGATATTAGTGCCGGAAAAAAAGGTCTCCCCCAGTACCACCAATCCGATGACATTCTTCTTTGCAAATATACAGGGTCTAAAGCCAGCAACGAACAACAAAATACCATTCATCCGTGGACTGCCTGCAGAGGCAAATGCAATTTTCGAGGTTTTCACAGTGACCCACATAAAGGATCACTTGGACAATGAAATATGGATCCCAGGTTACAACCTATACAGATGTGACAGAGTGAACAGGCAAAAGTGGAGGGGAGGGTTGGCCTGTATATTGCAGAATCACTTATTTGCACAGAACTGCTAAGTGCCTCAAATGATGTAGTTGAAGTTTTAGCAGTAAATTTTAAGAACCAAAATCTGGTCATTGTGGTAGCTTACAAGCTTCCGAATGCAACGTCCCAACAATTCCAGGAACAGATGTTGAAAATTGACCACTGTCTGGAAAAATCTTCCAGCTCCTGCCCCCAACATCTTGCTCCTGGGGGATTTCAAGTTAAGGCACCTAAAATGGAAGAATATAGCAAATAATGTTGTTGCAGTGATAACACCAGGAGGCAGCTCAGATGAGAACTCACGCACAAATGAGCTTTTAAATCTCTGCACAAAATTCACCTTTAACCAGCCAATAATAGAGCCTACTAGACTGGAGAATACACTGGACCTCATCTTCACTAACAATGATGATCTGTTACAAAATGTCACCATATCAAAAACAATATACTCAGATCACAACATAATCGAAGTTCAGACATGCATGCGCGGAGCCCTAGACCGACAAAATGTGACCATGACTTAAGAAATCGTAATGACACGATTGCAAATAAACCATACCCCCGGCCGGGATTGAACCCGCGGGCTGGAGTTTTGAGACTCTATGACCGCGGGTTCAATCCCAGCCGGGGGTATGGTTTAAAATGTGACCAGTCACGAGGGTGCCTTCACCAAATTCAGCTTCAATAACAAGAACATGAACATAAAGTGGGACCAAGTAAACCAAGTCCTAAATGATATAAGCTGGGAAGATAGCCTAAGCAACACAGACCCCAACTTAAGCCTAGAACAGATTAACTCTGTGGCACTCGATGTATGCTCAAGGCATATTCCTTTAAGAAAAAAGAGGAGTAGATGTAAAATAGAAAGAGACAGGCACTCCCTTTAGAGGCGATGGAAGAGAATAATAGAGCGGCTAAAAGAGGCCAATATATCTGCAATGCGTAGGGAGACACTGGTCAGAGAAATAGCAAACATCGAACTAAAGCTAAAGGAATCTTACAGGAGTCAGGAATCGCGGGAGGAACTAAAAGCTATAAATGAAATCTAAAGAAACTCAAAGTGTATTTCTTGTCTTATGCCAAATCTAAGTCGAGAACAACATCCACTATTGGGCCCCTACTTAAACAAGATGGGTCCTACACAGATGACAGTAAGGAAATGAGTGAGCTACTCAAGTCCTAATACCTGGAGTTTACCTGGAGAGAGTTCCGGGGGTCAACGCCCCCGCGGCCCGGTCTGTGACCAGACCTCCTGGTGGATCAGAGCCTGATCAACCAGTTTTTAGCAAGCCACTAACCAAATTGAGAGTCGAAGATCTAAATGAATTTTTTATGAGAGAGCCACAGAATTTGATAAACACAAGCCTATCTGACGTTATCCTGATGCCAAGTGACTTTGAACAGGCGATAAGTGACATGCCCATGCACTTTGCCCCAGGGTCAGACTCATGAAACTCCGTGTTCATCAAGAACTGCAAGAAGCCCCTATCACGTGCTTTTACCATCCTATGGAGAGGGAGCATGGACACTGGGAACATCCCACAGTTACTAAAAACAACAGACATAGCCCCACTCCACAAAGGGGGCAGTAAAGCAATAGCAAAGAACTACAGACCGATAGCGGTAACATCCCATGTAAAAATCTTTGAAAGGGTCCTAACAAGCAAGATCGCCACCCATCTAGATACCCATCAATTACACAACCCAGGGCAACATGGGTTTAGAGCAGGTCGCTCCTGTCTGTCCCAACTACTGGATCACTACGACAAGGTCCTAAATGCACTAGAAGACAAAAAGAATGCAGATGTAATATACACAGACTTTGCAAAAGCCTTCGACAAGTGTGACCATGGCGTAATAGCACACAAAATGCATGCTAAAGGAATAACAGGAAAAGTTGGTAGATGGATCTATAATTTCCTGACAAATAGAACACAAAGAGTAGTAGTCAACAGAGTGAAGTCTGAGGCGCTTACAGTGAAAAGCTCTGTTCTGCAAGGCACAGTACTCGCTCCCATCTTGTTCCTCTTCCTCATATCCGACATAGACGGGGATGTAAGCCACAGCACCGTGTCTTCCCTTGCAGATGACACCCGAATCTGCATGACAGTGTCTTCCATTGCAGACACTGCAAGGCTCCAGGCAGACATCAACCAATCTTTCAATGGGCTGCAAAAAACAATACGAAGTCAACGATGAGAAATTTCAATTACTCCAATATGGTAAATGTGAGGAAATTGAAACTTCATCAGAGTATAAAACAAATTCCGACCACACAATAGAGTGAAAAACTAACATCAAAGACCTGGGAGTGATCATGTTGGAGGATCTCACCTTCAAGGACCATAACATTGTATCAATCGCATCTGCTAGAAACATGACAGGATGGATAATGAGAACCTTCAAAACTAGGGATGCCAAGCCCATGATGACACTCTTTGGGTCACTTGTTCTATCTAGGCTGGAATATTGCTGCACACTAACAGAACCTTTCAAGGCAGGTGAAATTGCTGACCTGGAAAATGTAGAGAGAACCTTCACGGCACGCATAACTGAAATAAAACACCTCAATTACTGGGAGCGCTTGAAGTTCCTGAACCTGTATTCCCTGAAATGCAGGCAGGAGAGATACATGATTATATACACCTGGAAAATTCTAGAGGGACTAGTACCAAACTTGCACACGAAAATCACTCCCAACGAAAGCAAAAGACTCGGCAGACGATGCCCCCAATGAAAAGCAGGGGTGTCACTAGCACGTTAAGAGATAACACAATATGCCTCCCAGCATACATCAAGGGGATTACCAATAGACCCCTGGCTGTCTTCAAGCAGGCACTGGACAGGCACCTAAAGCCGGTACCCGACCAGCTGGGCTGTGGTTCGTATGTTGGATTGCATGCAGCCAGTAGTAACAGCCTGGTTGAACAGGCCCTGATCTACCATGAGGCCTGGTCACAGACTGGGCAGCGGGGGCATTGACCCCTGGAACTCTCTCCAGGTAAACTCCAGGTACTCAGAAGTTTACTGAGGCCTCAACGTTTTGATAGTTAAGCAGATTAACTCATCTCAATCTCTCCATATTATTGTTTGACTTGAGTTCTTAATTTTGTTTCATCTTGTATCTCATTTGTTCTCTCATACCTGTATCATTTTCCCTCATATTTTTTTGTGTCTGTAATCAAAGCCCACTTAGTGTATTTCTGTTTTACTTAAGTAAGTTAGGTACAGGTACACATAAGTACTATTATCATACTTGGTAATATATAGTGCTAGTCATGGTGTTATGCCAGGTGAGTGCCCCGGCATAATACCATGATGAAAACAAAGGTCTGCCATACAGAGGGGATCTTTTTTCATCAGTGCATTATGCCGGGTAGCAGCTGTTAGCATGATGTTATGGCCTGCTGCCACACTCCACAGTGACTTCTCAGTGCTCACCTGGCTGCCGTGTTGAGAGGAAGTGTTACACTTTTGTCTCTCATCCGCCCCATCTTTTGTCCAGTGTTCCCTATGGTTTTGGGGCGATACATGCTTGATTATGGGTAAAAGAAAGTCTTTAACACCTGAAACTATAGTTCAAATCACAGGGTTTCAAAAAGCTGGGCACCAGACAAAAGAGAGTAGAGAATGTTGGTGTGTGTGAGCATTCAGTGAGGAACTGGGTGCAGCGTTTCAAGACTGGTGGCGGTGTCGAGTTACCGTCTGCCAAACCTCGGCCTGGCCCCTCGAAGAAGACATCTGTTCATACCTTGACTGTGTTAAAGAAGCAATTAGAGAGTACACCTAAGATAACTGCTAGAGAATTGAAAGAATAGAACCCACATCTCCTCTCAGAGGTGTCTGTAAGAACTGTTAACAGACGTATGTCAGAACTGGGCTACAGTAGTCACTGCCAGGCTAAGAAACCGATCTTCTCCAGTCACAGAAGAAACGTAGGCTGAATTATGCAAAGAAATATCTTCACTGGAATCCTGAACAGTAGTCTGAAGTATTTTGGAGTGATGAAGCAACCTTCACCGTCAACTGTAACCGTGAGGGGGCATGTGGGGGTAGTGACCCACTAGACCCACACTACATCTGTGGGACCAACAAACACCCAAACTCGCTCATGGTTTGGGGGTGTTTCAGTGCTTAGTGTTGGTGAACTCATTGTACTTCCCAAAAACCAGTATAGTAACCTGGAGTTATTGTGTCATTATTTATCTGAGGCATTTGACAAGTGTGGGGCTGCGGTTTTTATGCAGGACGGTGCACCGTGTCATATCGCCAAATCTGTAGTTCAGGTATCTCCAGTGGCTTAAGAACTGTGAAGTGAGGTTCTTTAATGACTGGCCAAGCAATTCCCCAGACCTAAACCCTATTGAGAACCTCTGATCACTAGTGAAACAAAGTTTACTGGGCAAGGATATCAGTTCCATCCCGTGGCTGGAGGCTGCTCCGCATGAGGCATGGAATAATATACAGTGGACCCCCGGTTAACGATTTTAATCCGTGCAAGAGGGGTAATTGTTATGCGAAATAATCGTTATGTGAATGAATTTTCCCCATAAGAAATAATGGAAATAAAATTAATTCGTGCAAGACACCCAAAAGTATGAAAAAAAAAAATTTTACCACATGAAATATACATTTTCCCACACACAAAGAGAAGGATACATGCACAATAGTAGAGTAGTACATGCACAGTATATATTGTGCATGTACTAGTCTACTAAATGAAGAATAAATGACACTTACCTTTATTGAAGATGCAGCAATGACTGATGAGACACTGTGTCCTGGGAGTGCCTTTTCCTCCTGAGTACTGTGGGTCCTGTTTGGCATTTTCTTCCAGAACAGGCCTTATCACACTGTGTATGCCACTACGATTCTTAAATCTCTCAAACCAACCTTTGCTGGCTTTAAATTCACCAATATGAGCACTAGTTCCAGGCATTTTTCCCTGTTCACCTGGGTGTTAGTCGACTTGTGTGGGTTGCATCCTGGGAGACAAGATTAAGGACCCCAATGGAAATAAGTTAACAGTCTTCGATGACACTGACTTTTTTGGGTTATCCTGGGTGGCAAATCCTCTGGGGTTAATTGTTTCTTGGTATTCTCAATAAGCCACACCAACAACGGTGCTACAGCAGCAGCAGCAGCTGACAGTGCAGCAGCAGCAGCAGCTGTACCACCAATAGTAGCGATGGTTGATTGGGGTTTATTATACAACCTGGCCAGCTCGGAGACATGCACTCCACTTTCATACTTATCAATGATCTTTTTCTTCATCTCTATTGTGATTCTCACCCTTATTGCTGTAGGGTTGGCACTAGAAGCTTTCTTGGGGCCCATGGTCACTTATTTTCCAGAAAAAGTACCGAAAACACTGTAATAATACGAAATATTCCGATTGTATGCTTGGATGTTACCGCGGAGGCTGGCTGGTAAACAATGCCACCGGCGGAACATGTGAGCGTGGCTCAGGCCGCGTCTCGGACGAAAATCGGTAAGCGGGTTTTTAAGCGGTATGTGAGGCAAAATTTTTGCGATTAAAGTAAGCGGTATGCGAAATAATCGCTATGTGATGCCATCGTTATGCGGGGGTCCACTGTACTTCCCCAAACCCTCAAGAATTTGGGTGAGAGTCTTCCTACACGGCTGAGGGACGTGATTAAGCATAAAGGACACAGCACCAAGTATTAAAACCTCAGGAAGTGTGCAAATATAGATAATATAATCTTTCATGGTATGTGTTTGTGTTTTGGTATGTGTGCAGGGGAGGGGCAGCATAATGCCATGACTAACACTGTAAGTGTAAATTACCTAGGATAACCAAAAAATGTCAGCAAAGTGATATTTTCCAAGGTGGGATATTAGGTACCTCTTCACTTGATCACTTTTCATGGGGTACTCTTTAAATACTTAGTGTAGACTGGCAAGAAGTAGTTAGTGTGTATTGTAATAACATTTTATACAAACTGAATACATAGTGAATGAAAAAAATTGGGTTATGTTCCAAACCTCTCAAAGTTAACCTCTCTGCCCCCAAAAATTAAAGTGCTCTACTGATGTAATGTATTGACACAACACCTACTTTCCCTATCCCCTTGGTCAAGGACTTCTAAATCCATGGGTGTCATACAGCACTTGTGCATGTGTTCTTCATCATTCATTTTATCTTCTGTGCTTGTTTTTTATCTTTCATTTTATATTTTAGCATACTGCCAACAATAATGAGAAAAAGGCACAGGGGTCCAGAAGAATCTATTATTGTGACATCTCATTCTGTGTAGTCCAGTCTTTTCTTCATCACTGGTGCCTGCCTACTGTTCTTTACTATAAATAAATACATAGCAGCCCCTGGTCAGGTGACATAGAAAGTTGCTAGATGTACAGTTGTAATGCCAACAGGCATGGATATACTGTAAGGTCTCTTATAAACCTCCACTATATAGTGTTATATTTTGTGACTGTGATTGAAAAAATGCTTCCAAAATTGAATAGCGTGTGCTATGATGATGTTTCTATGAGTTATTTAATTTCAGAGGTAGAGTACTTTTTCAGTTGCTTTTACAAAAAATCACACTATATAGAGGAGCTTCATGAGAAAGCTTACCATAAAGACATAATATGTAGGACTAACTTTTGACTGCAATAAAATGAATGAATTCAGAAATGACTTACTCAGAAATGTTCGAGAAATGTCAAAGTATTTTATCCACAGTGCCATATTACCAACCATTCTGGAAAAATACTAGGACTTTGCCTGTTGTAAATAATGCATAACCACTTAAATGTGTTTAAATTCAAGCATACCTTGCTAAAATATAAGATAATATTTTTGTGACTTAATTCATGTCTACATATACAGTGGACCCCCGGTTTACGATATTTTTTCATTCCAGAAGTATGTTCAGGTGTCAGTACTGACCGAATTTGTTCCCATAAGGAATATTGTGAATTAGATTAGTCCATTTCAGACCCCCAAACATACACGTACAAACGCACTTACATAAATACACTTACATAATTGGTCGCATTGGGAGGTGATCGTAAAGTGGGGGTCCACTGTATTACTCATTATGACTGTAACCAGATATGAACATGTAAATAATTCATTACCACTGTGACTTTTTTAGCTATCAAAACTTTGCAGTCCAGTCCCTGGACTCACCATGTGCCTCTGTAATCTTTTGTCTGCCACCCACAAAATGGGTATGGGGTGCATAATGAAGATATTAAACTATTATTTGGACTACATTTCATTCAGGGTAGAGCTTTATCAAGTCCTGACTTGGAATAAAATGAAATACTTTAGTATGAAAACATTTTGCTTGATTTATAAGTTTTTTCACTAATTTGAAGAAGTATGTAAATTAAGGATACATGTAATTTGTTTTGTTGCAACATGTTGCATTCACATATTAGTTCAACAACAAGTCAGTAATTTGGCCCTTGAGCAAAATATGCTTCCAATAAATATGCTTCCATCATAAAGTACAGTACAGTGGAATCTCGACCTACGAGTTAAGTCCGTTCTGTGACCTATCTTGTAACTCAATTTGCTCGTATATCAAATCAATTTTCCTCATTTAAATTAATTGAAATGCCATTAATCCGTTCCAGCGGAATTCTTGCTCTCGGGAGGCAGGACAAAATACTTCAATATGACACTAATATCAACTCTACGGCTTATTTATTTATCACAATTCATCTAATAGGACATATTAAGCAATGTAAATAACATAGAAGCATGATATATACTCAGTGGTGGCTCGTAACACCAAACTTCTATTTTTAATAATTTTTTATCTCGTTTCAACAAAAAAAAAAAAATTTCCTTATAAATACTTATAAATTACTTTCTTAGGACCCATGGTTAGAAAAAAGAAATTTGGCAAAATAACTGTCCAAAATGCAAGCAAAGCATGAGAGAAATAGTTCCACTGCTCAGCGGATGTTTTGGCATTCACTGCACCAACTAGTGGCAGTGTTCTGAAGCTCCTCGTTATTATTATTATTATTATATTATTATTATTATAATATTATTACCATTATTAATTTAGGGAACTGGAGCACAGATCCAATTCCTTAGATCAAGAGCCCCTCACCAGCATCAAGGTTCCTTAATGCTGATGAGGGGCTCTTGATCTAGGGAATTGGGTCTGTGCTCCATTTCCCTAAATTAATAATAATAATAATAATAATGAGGAGCTTCAGAATGCCGCCAACTCAGTGCACAGTTTACCTCGCCGTGGAAGCATTTCTCTCGTGTTTTACTTGCATTTTGTACAGTTATTTTGCCAAATTTCTTTTTTCTGACCATGGGTCCTAAGAAAGTAAATGCAAAGGACAGTGCTGAGAAGAAAAAGATGATGTCCATGGAATTAAAGCATGAAATCATAGATGAACAAGCAAGGTGTGCAGGTTGAGGGTTGAGGGGGAGCGGGGGAAGCTCGCTCGTAACTTGGATGTTGGCTTGTAACTGAGAGCAAAAAATGGACCGAGCGACAGCTCGTATCTCGAAAAACTTGTATTTGGGACACTCGTAAGTCGAGGTTCCACTGTACTGAATATTACATAATTATCTTTTTATTTTCCAGACAACAAAATCTTTCCTTGGAGATATGTTATCTTCAAACAAAGGTCACATTGTGACTATTTCCTCTTTGGCTGGCATGTCTGGTGTTAATAAATTGGCTGACTATTGTGCCTCTAAGTTTGCTGCTGTTGGCTTTGATGAAAGTCTTCGTCTTGAACTAATGGTGAGTTTTATATTTTAATGTACATATAATTAATACATTCTCCATGGGGAAGTGGAAAAGAATTCTTCCTCCGTAACCATGCATGTCATAAGAGGCGACTAAAATGCCGGGAGCAAGGGGCTAGTAACCCCTCTTGTATAAATTTCTAAATGTACAAAGAAAAATAGTTTTTCTTTTTTAAGTCACCCTGCCTTGGTGGGAGATGGCTGGTGTATTGAAAATAAAAAATTAACACATTATTATTTCTTTTGGTTCTACATACCCAGCAAAACAAAGGTATGTAATAATTGTGCTCTGATTGCTGTGCAGTTCCTCATATCCCATAATGCCTCAACCCATGAAAAAGGAAGTGTAAAGTTTAGCATACTTTTCTAATGAATTTAAATATCAGTGTTGAAAAGTTGAAGCCATTCAGAAGCATCCACTAGTTATCACATGGAAACTAATACAGTATCCCACATTCTTCAATAAAAATAAATTAGCACCTACACCACCCAAAATCAGTTTGAGTGTTCTACTAAATAAGATACACCAGCTTTAAAAGTTTAAAGTTAAAAGTTATATCTCAAATAACTAGAGAATGCATCATCTGTTGGGTTTAAACTTTTAAACTTCCAACGCACATATCGTGCTTAGTGAAAAATCTAAATTAGTTTTAGGCTGTGTAGGTATCACTTCAATATTTTTATTTGAAGAAATTGATATATTAATTTTCAGGTTACAGTGTAACTTGTAAATGCCTCTTCTGACTGGCTTTTGATCTTCGGTGCTGATATCTAACTGCATTCAAGACTTATGCCACACTATGTACTATTCCTTTTGCATACAATGACATAGAGAGGGCTGAGCTTATGTGATATGGAAATATCTTTCTCAGTGACAGCCTGGTTGATCGGTCCTGATCTACCACAAGGCCTGGTCATGGATTGGGGTGTGGGGGCATGACCCCCAAAACCCCCTCCAGGTATACTCCAGGTATCATGCACCAACCATAATACATCTCATTGTCAAAGAACGTCATGAAATGTCTTTAAAGTATTTCTAAGTCATAAATAAGACATCTCTGTGACTCCACATATCGCTTTACATATTATATACCTGTTTTTAATTTGGTGTTCTTTTGCACATTAAAATATGATGCTATTGTACCATAGATGGAGTTTGTCAGTCTTTTTTATTACTCAGTATTGTTATGTCTTGAATAAGCTGTTCATTATTTTATACAGTACTTGTGGATTATCTACCAGTATTTTTAATTCTGTAAGAAAAAATAATTTTTTTTTTTTTTCAAAATTTCTTGGACACTGGTGCGTGACTTCAGATTTTGGCCTTGGACCCTGAAAGGGTTAAGTCATAAATAGCTGTTCATTATTTAATACAGTACTAATGGATTATCAGGTTGATGGCTACACAGGAGTCAAGACTACAGTGGTCTGTCCCTACTTCATCAGCACTGGTATGTTTGATGGGGTCAAGTCAAAGTAAGTGTGCTTTTGTTTGCAACATCTTGTTACTAAGACCTTTATGATACAATTTAAAATTCAAAACACATCCAGCACATATTCAATAAGGTCTCCAAAACAGTGGGCATCCTCTCTTAAGATATGTCACTGTGTGCCTCAAACAACATTACTTATTCTGCACTACTCTGTGATCTATTCATACTTCACCTATGATATTTGTTCCTAGGTACATATCTATAACAGCAAATCACCTACAGCCAATAGTAATGCAACCAAAAGCTCTGTATGAATGATCACTCATGCATGTGCTAGATAATACATTCCCTCACTCATCAGAAGTTTAAATTTATTCAGCATACAAAACATTCATTCATTCTACTGTGGATTCATACAGGACAGGCAATACTAATATAGTAATCCCAGAGCTTAAACTTTCTGGAAAGCTGCAACAGAGCTCATAGGCATAGTATAAGAAATAGATACTGTATCTATTAGATATCCCTGGTGTTTGACTCAACCTGAGTAAAATTTCAGTACAAGAGGCCTTCAAAATTTGGAACTCTCTGCCATAAGTTTTCACAGGTTCTCCATTTGCCAACCACTTCAAAGCTACAGGTATTGTTAAAAAACATTTCCTTGCCTTGATGTCATTCATAACAGCAACATACTGTGTCAGACACATCTTGAAACCTTGTTGAGTTTTCGTCCTTCTGTGTTTCTGTTATTTTTCTACTTCCTAGGATTATTAATTTTCTTAATAATGTTCAGATTACTTATATTGCATTATATTGTAATTTCATAATCTAGTACCCCTTAATTAGTTATATATTGCTAGTTACTATTTTTTATGGCATACTGTAGCATAATTTTTAGCTGTTTTGCCTTCAGTTCTGTCGACTGAGCCCCCCATTCAACTATCAGAACTACCTTATAATGTACACAGAAGTTGGCAATGGTTATAGTTTGTGCTGTCCCAGTAACTGAAGTAGACATAGTAATAACCCATGAGACATATGGTGCAAACTATCCCTGAATTTAGGCTGTGTATTTGCAATACTGTAGCTAAAGATTACAGATTTGTAAATAAAATACTGTAGGTAGATATTACAGATTTGTAAGTGAAATACTGTAGCTAGACACTACAGATTTGTAAATAAAATACTGTAACTAAATATTACAGGTTTGTTTCAGGATCTATACACTCAACATTTACAAAATACTACTGTATATGTGGTAATTATTCTAAAGGTAGATTTATTGTTGAATGATATTTATTTCTGCAGACTCATACCAATCTTGAAGCCTGAATTTGTAGCCTCTGAAACTGTTGATGGGATCCTTCTTAACACAGACATTGTTATTTTACCATCCTTCTGCCGGTGTCTCATCATCCTGAAATAGTAAGTGCATTCAGTTTTTCTATTTTTTGAATCCTTTTTATTTTGCTTTCGAGTATAGTATTTTATAGTGCCCATATGGCATATATGAACCCATTTGTACTACACATTTTGACCTCAGTGTTATGTACACCAAGAGGTGTGTATCTTTCAGTGTATATATGCTGAGGGTGTGCCTCACTCTGTTTTGTACAGATTATGTTTAACCAGTTTTGTACAGGTTATTTGCAGCCTTACTGACCCTTGTGTAGTTAATAGACCCTCAGTTCAGTAAATTGTTAGCATCACTCTCAGGCTCTCTTCAGTTTACTAAAGAGGGCCTCAGTGCAAGTACAAAATATGCAGCACTTGTCTTTTTTATTGTTCCTTTGTTCTACTGACCACTATTTATTTAACTTTTCTAAAGTTGATGATTATTACCAACTATAATTACATCATTACACTCTTATTTGCTTTTTAATTTTCTTAAAAAAAGTATTAATTTAACATTAAATTTTTATTTAAAGTTTTTCATTGAATTCTCTATATTCCCTTTAATTTGCATTACAATAATATTATGTACTTTTATAATGTGTCTTAAATTTATTACTGTTTATTGTCATATATAAGTTTTTCTGATGCATTTGGGAGATTCAGATTCTGAAGAGGAGTTGCAGAGGTTGATGGACGAGTTTGGTAGGATATGTAAAAGGAGGAAATTAGAAGTGAACATAGGAAAAGAGTAAGGCAATGAAGATAACAAAAAAATTAGGTACTGAAAGATTGGATATGAGATTGGAGGGAGGAAGTATGGAGGAAGTGAATGGATTCAGATATTTGGGAGTGGACTTGTCAGCAGATGGGTCTATGAAAGACGAAGTGATCGTAGAATTGATGAGGGGAAGAAGGTGAGTGGTGCACTGAGCCTTTGGAGACAAAGAACATTGTCCATGGAAGCAAAGAGGGGAATGTATGAAAGTATAGTTATACCAGTGCTCTTATATGGGTGCGAAGCATGGGTGGTGAATGTTACAATAAGAAAAAGGCTGGAGGGAGTGGAGATGTCATGTCTAAGGGCAATGTGTGGTGAGAATATAATGCAGAAAATTCATAGTTTGGAGATTAGAAGGAGGTGCAGAGTTACTAAAAGCATTATCCAGAGGGCTGAGGTGTGGTTGTTGAGGTGGTTTGGATGTTTAGAGAGGATGGAATGAAATAGAGTTGCTTGGAGAGCGTAAAAATCTGTAGTGGAAGGAAGATGGGGTAGGGGTCAGCCTTGGAAAAGTTGGAGGGAGAGGGTAAAGGACATCTTGTGTGCAAGGAGCTTGGACTTCCAACAAGTGTGGCGAGCGTGTTCGATAGGAGCACATGGAGACAAATGGTTTTTATGACATGATGTGCTGTTGGAGTGTGAGCAAAGTAACATTTATGAAGGGATTTAGGAAAACCAGCAAGCCAGACTTGAGTTCTGGAGGTGGGAAGTACCATGCCTGCACTCTGAAGGAGGAGTGTTGATATGTTGCAGTTTTTTAACTGTAGTGTAAGCACACCTCTGGCAAGACAATGATGAAATGAATGATGATGAAAGTGTTTCTTCTTTTTCGGGTCAACCAGCCTTAGTGGATAAAGGCCGATGTGTTAATAAGAAAATAAATTTAATATTTTTATAATGTTAGTAATAATCCTAGCTTAAAACTGTACAAAATGCCATGCATATTACTACATTTAGAGGGCAGTCCTAAACCCACAGTATTGTGTGAAATACTTTATCATCTTCCCTTGTTATGTCTCAGGAAACTGAATTTTCTTTCTTATTAATGAAGTACTAATGGTTGCATGAAGGTGCATCAGAATATATTAATAGTGGGTAAATGGTTTGACATTATTATAAGGTATTGGTTATGCATGATGCTCTTCTTGAGAGGTAGGCTACCAGCCTAACAGTAGTGTACTAGTGGGCTTGTGTTCTGTACCGCACCTAAGACATTGTGTCACCATCATTATCAAATTTTATTTAGAAAATCTCTGCTCAGCATAGAAAAAGAATTGACTCTTAAGATGATGAACATTTATATTAAATATCTGATTCATGAAAACTATAAACAATTAAATGAACAATGTAAAATACTAAAGATTGTTTAAAATACTTCATTTTGTAATGAAAAATTCATCCAAGACTGCTGTGTACAACACCAAGCTCACTCTGTCCATGGGTTCATATAGTTATCAGTTGCTTGGGAGTAGGCTGCAGAACTAATTTATCTTTCCAGCTTCCTGCCCAAGAAAGCCTTTTTTATTTTTGGGAAAGCAACTGGAATTACCTCGTCCATGGATGAATTTTTAGGACGTCGGAAAAATGACTAAAATTTCACAGGTCTTCATTAACAGGTGTGTAGTTGGTGATGGGTCATAACAAATATTTCACTGCTTTTTGATTATTAGAATTATCTAGAAATTATATTGGATCTCCTTGCTCAAATTATATTATGGTAGACCTATAACCCAACATAGGCTTTGCATGCTTTGCATTTAAGTAATTGTACTTGGGAAAAGCACTAAATGCATGAGGATACATAAGTATGTAGAGTTATTTTAAACTAATTTAATTCATATACTGCCTGCCAGCTTGCATGCTTTTATCATATATAAATTAATTTATATTAATTCAAGGTAATTTTTATTGTAAATGAATATGGGCATTATTACCAGGCATAAAGGTAATCATATATTTGTGATTACCTTTATGTACCTATAGAAGTAAAACTCTGTTTCTGGTGTCCTATTTACATTTCTGGTGTCCTATTTACAGTGTTTATTTTATTTCAAGTTTTTTTTTTATTTCCAGTGGTAGTAGCACCTACTATCTCCTATATCCCAATTAATAATTTTACCATACTGTAAAGACTAACTTTTTAGTATCCTCTTAGTGTTGTTTTTTCTCAGCTTTCAAATGTAGTCTCTTGTTTTCCTCTGTTGATGGTTGCAATGAGCTTCTGTTACCTTCCTTGACAAGCATTCAGTCTGCTTTTCATTATTATTTTTTTTAACATGTCAGCCGTCTCCCACTGAGGCAGGGTGACCCAAAAAAAGAAAACTTTCACCATCATTCAACACTTTCAGTATCATTCACACATAATCACTGTCTTTGCAGAGGCACACTCAGATATGACAGTTTAGATGTCACTCCAGATAGTCAATATCCCAAACCTCTCCTTTTAAGTGCAGGCAGTGTACTTCCCACCTCCAGGACTCGAGTCCGGCTAACCAGTTTCCCTGAATATCTTCACACTCCAACAGCTCGTCAGGTCTTAAAAGCCACTTGTCTCCATTCACTCCTATCTAAAACTCACACATGCCTACAGCATATCCAAGCCCCTTGCTCACAGAGCCTCTTTTACCCCCCTCCCTCCATCATTTCCTAGGATGACCCCTACACCTCCTCCCCTCCACTACAGATTTATACACCCTCCAAGTCATCCTATTTTGCTCCATCCTCTCTAAATGACTAACCCACATTAACAACCCCTCTTCAGCCCTCTGAATAATACTTTTAGTGACTCCACACCTCCTAATTTCTACACTACGAATTCTCTGCATAATATTTACACCACACGTTGCCCTTAGACATGACATCTCCATTGCCTCCAGCCTCCTTCTTGCTGCAGCATTTACAACCCATTCTTCACACCCATATAAGAGTGTTGGTACCACTATACTCTTATACATTCATTTCTTTGCCTCCATGGATAACATTTTTTGTCTCCATAGATATCTCAATGCACCACTCACCTATTTTCCTTCATCAATACTATGGTTAATCTCGTCCTTCTTAAACGCATCTGCTGGCAAGTCTACTCCCAAATATTTGAACACATTCACTTCTTCCATACTCCCTCCCTCCAGTGTGATATCCCATTTTTTTTACCTAACTTGTTTGATCACCTTACTCTTATCTGTGTTCTTTTTCAGTTTTTATCCTTTACACATCCTCCCAAACTCGTCCACTAACCCTTGCAACTTCTCTTTGGAATCTCCCAAATGCACAGTATCATCAGCAAAAAGTAACTATGTCAACTCCCATGTTGTATTTGATTCCCCATAATTTAATCCCACCCCCCAGCACCTTAGCATTTAGTTTTTTTTACAACCCCATCTAGAAATATGTTAAACCATCATGGTGACATTACACATCCCTGTCTAAGGCCTAATTTTAGTTCAAAGTAATTTCCTTCTCTCCTGTACACCCTAACCTGAGCCTCACTGTCCTCATAAAACCTCTTTCCACCATTTAGTAACTTACTACCTATTCCATACACTTACAGCATCTGCCACATTGCTTCCCTATCCACCCTATCATATGCCTTTTCTAAATCCATAAATGTAATGAAAACTTCCCTACCTTTATCTAAATATTGTGTGCTTGTATGCTTCAATAAAAAACACTTGGTCTACATATTCCCTACCCATTCTAAAGCCTCCATGTTCATCTGTGATCCTGCTCTCTGTTTTACCTCTAATTCTTTCAGTAATAACCCTACCATACACTTTACCTGGTATACTCAATAAACTTATTACCCTATAATTTTTACAATCTCCTTTGTCCCCCTTCCCTTTATATAAAGGAACTATACATGCTCTTTGCCAGTCCCAAGGTTCCTTCCCCTCTTTCATACATTTATTGAACAAAAGTAACAACCACTCTAAAAATATATCCCCCTTATTTACCCCCCTTCTCCCTGCTTTTAATATTTCTGTCATGATTCCATCAGTTCCAGCTACTTTACCCCCTTTCATTCTACCCAGTGCCTCACACACCTCCCCCACACTCACATCCTGCTTTTCTTCACTCCTAAAAGATGTTATATCTCTCTGGCCAGTGCATGAAATTACTGCCTCCCTCTCTTCATCAACATTTAACAGTTCCTCAAAATATTCCTGCCGTCATCCCAATACCTCCAACTCCCCATGTACTAACTCCCCTATTCTGTTTTTAACTGTCAAATCCATTTGTTCCCTAGGCTTTC